CTGCCCAAGTCAAACCGCAGAGAAAAAGCAGCTAAGTGGACCAACATGGCCGCAGAACAAGTAACATAACAGCAGCAAAGCCTTCAACATAGCCCTGATCTAGACCCCACGGCCCCAATCACTTCCAACATACCTCCACGAGAAGCCGCAAGAGAGCCCCAACATTGGGTGGAGTGCTCCAATACGGAAGAGGATATGTCCCAAGAATGCACCAAGATCGCCGAAGATTGGCACAAACGTGCCCCGAATTTGACCACCCACTGGAGCAAGCTTTCATAAGACAAAGCAGCAAAAACGACCAAGAAAACTATCAAAACCACTTTTCTTACACTTGTCGGACCTCATTTTTCAATGTTTTTACAGTGTTTTACCCGCGCTACGAAAAAGACCACGTGCCGAAGTCAAACAGCAGAGAAAAAGCAGCCAAGTGGACGCAAAACAAGTGACATAACAGCAGCAAAGCCTTCAACATAGCCCTGATCTAGACCCCACGGCCCCAATCACTTCCAACATACCTCCACGAGAAGGCTCAAGAGAGCCCCAACATTGGGTGAAATGCGCGAATATGGAAAAGGATATGCCCCAAGAATGCACCACGATCGCCGAAGATTGGCACAAACGTGCACCAATTTTGACCACCCACTGGAGCAAGCTTGCATCCACGAGAAGGCTCAAGAGAGCCCCAACATCGGGTGAAATGCGCCAATATGGAAAAGGATATGCCCCAAGAATGTAGCAAGATCGCCGAAGATTGGCACAAACGTGCCCCAATTTTGACCACCCACTGGAGCAAGCTTTTGTGTAGTGTGTGTAAAGCACTATAAGCAGAATTATGTACCATGAAAAATGAGGTCCGACAAGTGTAAGAAAGTTGGTTTTGACAGTTTCTTTTTTCGTTTTTGTTGCTTATGCAAGCTTGCTCCAGTGGGTGGTCAAATTTGGGGCACGTTTGTGCCAGTCTTCGGCGATCTTGGTGCATTCTTGGGACATATCCTTTAGCTGCTTTTTCTCTCCTGTTGGACTTCGGCTCGTGGTCTTTTTCGTAGCGCGCGTAAAACGCTGTAAAAAACAATGAAAAAATTGAGGTCCGACAAGTATAAGAAAAGTGCTCTTGATAGTTTTCTTTGTCGTTTTTGCTGCTCTGTCTTAATGAAAGCTCGCTCCAGTGGGTGGTCAACGTCGGGGCACGTTTGTGCCCATCTTCGGCGATCTTGGTGCATTCTTGGGACATATCCTTTTCCATATTGGAGCACTCCCAAGAATGTTGGGGCTCTCTTGAGGCTTCTCGTGGAGGTATGTTGGAAGTGATTGGGGCCGTGGGGTCTAGATCAGGGCTATGTTGAAGGCTTTGCTGCTGTTTTGGTCCACTTGTCTGCAGTTTGACTTGGGCGGGTGGTTTTTTGCGTAGTCCGTGTGAAACACAAAAATGAAAAATGCGGTCCAACAAGTGTAAGAAAGGTGGTTTTGAAAATCTTCGGCGATCTTGGTGCATTCTTGGGACATATCCTTTTTCATATTGGAGCACTCCACCCAATGTTGGGGCTCTCTTGAGGCTTCTCGTGGAGGTATGTTGGAAGTGATTGGGGCCGTGGGGTCTAGATCAGGGCTATGTCGAAGGCTTTGCTGTTATGTTATTGTTTCGCCCAATGTTGGGGCTCTCTTGAGGCTTCTCGTGGAGGTATGTTGGAAGTGAGTGGGGCTGCGGGGTCTAGATCAGGGCTATGTTGAAGGCTTTGCTGCTGTTATGCTACTTGTTTTGCGGCCATGTTGGTCCACTTGGCTGCTTTTTCTCTGCGGTTTGACTTGGGCAGGTGGTCTTTTGCGTAGTGTGTGTAAAGCACTATATATAACATTATAGACCATGAAAAATGAGGTCCGGCAAGTGTAAGAAAGGTGGTTTTGACAATTTTTGGTCGTTATTGTTGCTTATGCAAGCTTGCTCCAGTGGGTGGTCAAATTTGAGGCATGTTTGTGCCAATCTTCGGCGATCTTGGTGCATTCTTGGGACATACCCTTTTCCATATTGGCACATTTCACCCAATGTTGGGGCTCTCTTGAGGCTTCTCGTGGAGGTATGTTGGAAGTGATTGGGGCCGTGGGGTCTAGATCAGGGCTATGTTGAAGGCTTTGCTGCTGTTATGTTTTGCGGCCATGTTGGTCCACTTGGCTGCTTTTTCTCTGCCCTGTTTGACTTGGCAGGTGGTTTTTTGCGTGCTGTGCGTAAAACGCCATAAATCCATGAAAATGAGGTCCGACAAGTGTAAGAAAGGTGGCTTTGACAGTTTTGTCGTTTTTGTTGCTTACGAACGCTTGCTCCAATGGGCAGTCAAATTTGGGGCATGTTTGCACCAATCTTCGGCGATCTTGGTGCATTCTTAGGGCATATCCTTCTCCATGTTGGCACGTTTCGCCCAATGTTGGGGCTCTGTTGGGGCTTCTCGTGGAGGTATGTTGGAAGTGATTGGGGCTGTGGGATCTATGTTGAAGGCTTTGCTGCTGTTATTTTACTTTTTTGCGGCGATGTTCGTCGACTTGGCTGTTTTTCTCTGCCGTTTGACTTGGGCAGGTAGTCTTTTTGCGTCATGTGCGTATAACATCGTAAAAACCCGACAGACTTAGGTCCGACAAGTGTAAGGTTATATACTTGTTTTCTCTGCCGTTCGACTTGGGCAGGTGGTCTTCTGCGTAGTGTACGTACAACACCGTTAAAGCCATGAAAAAAAAGAGGTCCGACTACCCAGCAATAAAATGCAGCTGCTCCGCTTTCCGTGTTTTTCCGAACTGGTTTGCAGGTCCAGGATGGTCCGGATCGATGGACCATGCGACCAGGTGTCCAAAGCTACATGGCTACACTTCCAAACCTTTGGTCTATCCTAATACCTGGGCCCAGTGGATGATGGTTCAGTTGCAGGCCTTGTTCCAAAAACTAGTGATTGCTTGTTTAGCTGACTGTTACAGGTAGGACAAACTCCATCCGTCTCCACTTTCGTCCGAGTGGCCAAGAGGGTGTCTGCCGCACCGCGGCGCCCGCTGCGCTCGGAATGCCACGAAGGGCGCGGTCCTGTTCATCGAAGCATTGACTGCATGGTCTAGGGCTACCCCGTAAGGGTCCAGCATGGTCTAGGGCTAGTTGGGTGTACACCATGTGTCGAACATCGTTTTTTGGGGGGTTGGTCAACTTTTCAAGCTTATCGAAAAAAATATAATATCAATTAGCGTCTTACGAGTACATACTGAAAGCATCAATCTTGCCATCTACTTCAGGCCCCAAAAGTACATTTGTTTCCAAAAAGACACCCCGGGCACAGCCTTTTTCCGTCGGCTTCGTCGCTTCGCCCGACGAGCGCCGGACCAGTCGCACGCGGCACTTGTGGCCTCTTGGGATGTCCTCGGGGCGCCGTGCCACTTTGGGCCGCTGCCAAAGCTCCCCAAAACCCGAAAGGCCGGCCGAACGCAGCTGGGAGGTGTCGGGAATTGGAGTACTTAAACCATGAACTAATGCATTGCAATTACCTGAACCTTACCTTGCACATGTTTTAACAGACTCTCTGGAAAAAAGCTGCCTGACATGTGCATTGACACAGTGTGAAAACAAACAGACACATTTGTTCTGGCATCAAGTCTGGTATGTGTTCCAGCACATCATCTGGCATAAAGGCAGGGAAATGTTCTGGAATGTGAACTGATGTCCTTTTTGGTATGTGTTCGGACACTTCTCCTGCTGAAAGTCTGACACGTGTTCCGACGTTTGTTGGGTTCTGATGACACTTGTTTGTTCTGCCATCAAATCTATATACTATAACATGTGGTCTGGCATCACGTCTGACAAGGGTTCCAACATTTGTTCTGGCATGTGTTCTGGCATGTGATTCCGACGCCTGTTCTGACATTTGTGCAGCATCAAGTATTATGGCATGCGTTCTGACTGCGAACATGCGCAGCAGCAAAGCAAAAACATGCAAAAACTGTTGATATCATTTGATATCTATATATTATACTTATCTCCTGGTAGCAACTATGTCTGTCGGTAACCCTGCTGACATATATTCCGAATGATATCTAATAGGTCATCTGCCGTTTGATCTGACATTTCATCTGGTTACATTTCATTTGAAGAAGTCCAGCACGCAACACTGCTAGGGGAAGACCAGCGGAAGTCCAGCGCACAAAAGAGTCAAGGAGGAAGGGGGGAGGAGGAAGGGAGAGCAGGCGGCACTTTCTCCAAATCTAGAGACCTTAGACCTTCTCATGGCGGGTTAAATGTTGTCCCTCCACAGCGATGCCAGCCACGTTCGAAATCGCATGAGGCGCCAGCCACTTGCCCAAAAACCACGGAGGCGCTCGCACCAGGAGAAATATAGCGAACACCGCTTTGCGCGCTGGCCTGTGCTGGTCTTTCTTTCGGGAAACACGCCGCGATATTCAGCTACCAGAACCAGGAAAGGGAAAAGGAACCATCATCACTATGCCTTGGGTGGATGATGATGCTTAGTAAAGGCCTTTGTAGGCCTCCAAGTACGTTCTGAGAAGGTGTTTGGGGTGGCTGCCCGGAGGGTCCAGTCATACCTTCTCAGAAGGTACGACTGGAGGCCTAGGGTATATGCATCCTTTCATGGAATCCCCTCGACAGATCGACGGATACTTGATGAGGCGGAGAAGCCACCGGATGAGGCTGGGCCTCTACGAAACAGTGGCGGGAAGATCTGTATCACAAATCCAAAGGTAGATCAACATGATAAAAAGGGTCTGTTGAAACAGGTGACTCCAGAGTAAGCCATCACTGGCTGCTGAAGATTGCCGAAGGCTGAAGCTTCTTTCTGAAACCAAGCATACCAACCCCACTTTTTCTACCCAGCCTGGAACATATTGAACACTTGGGAACAATAGTTACTGAACTGCGCCGATTTTGACGCCGCTGGGACACCTTTCCTGGCGCGATCTCGCCGACCTAACGAAGACTCAGAGCATCAAGAGGTCTTTTGTTCGGCGGTCTTACCTCAGCACTGAGAGCTGCGGGGTCTCCAGAGAATGAGCCTGAAAGGGAGACCCTCAACCAATGGGTAGACGGTGGTCTATTCCCCCTTTTATATAATAGGGAGTCCTCGGAAGGTCTCCCTATTTTAATACACACCCATCTGAGAGAATGTCAGGGATAGGAAAGTCGTGATAGGTAGCATCCGGCTTTCATGTTTCACACACAGAGCATGTACCAGGTTTGTGCAGGGTCGTGCACTTCCGATCTAATGTAAGGTGGTAATATCTCTTGACATGCCATAGCATGGTGTCCAACTAAGTTGCTTTTATGGATGATGTATGCTTCAACCGACTTCAAAGAGCCTCTTTTTGAGCTCTGGCTGCCCACAGTCTATCGAGAAAGCCTTGATGGCTCGAGGTTAAAGGCATCTGTAAAAGGTATAGTTAAATGCTGCTGAACACAAATACCTTCATAATCCTTTATATATATATATATCTTTGAGAAGTGAGAAGTGGATCATAGTGGATCCATCCAATTGAATAGCTCACGTGGATCGCAGTGAAGAAATCCACACAGCAGGACATTCCGAGAACCTTGAAAATGACATGTTGCGACAGCCCAGGTCGGACCACTCCACCACGCGGCGTCTTGGATCTTAGATTTTGGATCTGAGATCATCTAAGATTATCGTAGAGCGGCTTGGATGGTCAACAGTTCTCACATCCATGCATCACTCTACTCACTGGCCTAGGGAAATTCCAGTTGGAAACAGAACTTCAGATGGACTCCCGCATGCTCGTCCTCCACTCACACATCATGACCCAACACTCTTCATACAGAGCAAACAGTTACAAGAAGCTATTAGTAACAAGTGCATCGCTACTAGTAACAAGCGCAATACTACTAATGACAAGAAGCTATACTAATAGCGATGCCTTAGTAGATCGAACGTAGCTACTTGTTTCGAACGTAGCGATGCACTTGGAACCAAACAGTTCACCTCGGCGACACCACCTCACGTCCCGACCGAACCCGGTGACGGTATGACCAGCCACCCCAAGACCAACCACCCCTGGGGAGCTCGTTTGCGGGCTTGAAACGACTTCAATTCGGCTTCAAACGACTTAAAGACTCGACCATATCTCCGGGCGCCTGTGGTGGTGGTGTTTGTGCAAGGGCGTGCAATTTGGAGGCCACTCCTCCATCCTTGGAACGGCAAAGGAGGAGGGATAGATTCATGTCAGCAATTTTAGGCCCTTCTCGATGGATTCCAACTGACCGTTTTTAACCGGACACCTGACAGGGGCTTCCAACACAAGAATCTTCTCTCTGTCCGAATCTGGGAAGGCCATAGACTATAGTAGGGCTCGGGCTACAGAGATTCTAGTTGGAGGAACAATTGATTGGATCAGAGCAAGGCACCTGTGATTCTTATCAGGAGAGGCCACCACGTAGCTGGAGAAGCACCGTGTGAGTGTGAACCACGCCTCAAAAATGCAAGTATTGTTTGTTTAGATACATCATGTCCCTGTGGCTGTTCCAGCTATTCTGCTATAATATGTTTTAAGCTCTGAGGCTTATAATACGTATAATAGAACCTTTATTTTGGTGGGTGGCTGGCTAGATGATTTGTTTAATGTCTTTAGATGCCAAGGGCGACTAGTGGCACCTTCGGGTCATCCCCTTGCATCCCCACCTGGTCGTCAGCGAGAGAGTTTGAAGCCAGAAGGATAGTGGATTCATCATCCCAAGTAAAGAGTGAACAAACATAAAACATCATACATATACATACATATACAAACATCAAAGGAACACGAGTTAAAATACCAAACCTAAAAACCACTGGTTCAAACAGCTGGTTGAAATGCCAAGAATTAGAAAAAAACACCTTCAACAAAACACATACAAAACACAAAACAATTGACCAGGTTTTTTACATGCCTTCTGGGTCGAATCCTGAAGGTCCCTCCATGGCCCTCCCACAGTTTGGGAGGAGTCGGTTTTAGGGTTTAGGGTTTAGGCTCAAAAGGTGTCCCAAAAAGCCCGTGCATCCGTGCATCCTCGGATTGGAATGGTTTTGCTGGATCCCCTTCTTTGTCATCACCGGGAGACCAAGAAAAGAGCATCTTTCCAAGGCCCACGAGGGTAATACCAATTGATATTCCACAGATCTTTTGGGACTAAGACCGAAAAGCTGCTTCGGAAGAAGCCCTATATGGATCCACATACTTTCTCAGGCTCGGTACAGCTGGACCCTCTATAAGGCTACATAAAAGTGACTCCAATCACCCTCAAAAAGAGGGTCTGTGGATTCATAGGGAATGGAAACCACTTCGTCCACTTCGAGTCGCTTCAACGTACTGCTCGTGCTGGGAACCAGCCGCAGGACGTCCATGGAAGCGTTGTCCGCACCAGTGATGGCAGCCCCCCCAGAAGGTGCCATCAGCCACCGTGGGAGCGTAGGCGTTCCTCGGTCCAAACAACCAATTCAGGTTGCTTTCAACTCACTTGAAAAATCCCTGGACCATCCATCCAATGGGAGTCCAAAGAAAATCCCTAAGCAGGGCAGCACTCAGTGCAGGGTAGTCAATTGGACACCCAGATAGGATGCTCCTGCCAGGTCAGTGAAAGCACCACCCAGGATGTGACCATCAGCCGGCAGCTGGGTGTGGCTATGACTGCAAGTCAGCTGGAAGTCCTGATTAGCCCCGCATTGATACACGACGGAGTCAGCTTAGTTCGATTCCCCAACTGATCCTATTTCCTGACACGCGCTGAGCATTTGTCGCTTTCTGGGAACATGACGAACCCATGGACCAAGTATGGTGTATTTCAGGTGTATATGGTTTCGCCCACTTCGAGATGACGATCTGAGAAGCCCACTCGCGCCCGTGCCCGGACCTGCGGACCGAACCGCGATGGTTTCGGGTGGACATCAGCTGATGTCAGCCTATCGTGGATCGCATGCAGCCACTGATTGTATCAAAGAACCAGGTGTCGTTCGGTGTTTTAGTCTGAACCGATTTACAGCGAACTAGTGGAAACTGGATCTGCTGGGCAAGTTAAACAAACTATGGGAACGAAAACACAACAAGCGCTGACAAGGAGGGAGGAGAGGGTTTCAACAAACTCCTTTTTGGGGGGCTCTTTACACTTGTTCCCTTCTGATCTGATGTAGCTAGACCAACTATACCGCTATACCCGAAAATCAACAGGATCGACTAGACTGGAAGATGATTTCCCCCGCCCCATGTCTAGGTGCTTTCAGGCGTCCATGTAGATATGCCAGCCCTGTTCGGATGTAATTGAGTGTGTAAATTGGGAGACCTCCCAGGCGTTCTGACCCCCTGGAAGAAGGGAAGTAGTCGACCAGTCTACCCAGCCAGGGCCAGGAGGCCTCCTTCTTGAAATACATGAACATACACAACCCAAGCTTGAGTGCATGGCAGTGCATGGGCACAAGACCAGCTTGGTGTTGATGACTCACCAAGAACCGAGTCGCCAAGCCGGGGTGTTGATGACTCCTGGCGGTGGCGACGAGGTGGCTGGGATATGCTGGGATCAGTCGAAACACAAACGACACACCAAGCTGGAGGTTCAGTCGAGGATCCTCCGTGCATTGGAACGTACCCATGGTCCACTCACGTCTAAACAAGCACCGAAGCACATGGAATGCACAGTCTTATGGAATTCAAATTGATTGAAGATCTGATGAGAATCCTCGTGGCCCTCCCAGCAGATTTTCAGGGATGCTTTTGGTACTTCAATGAACAGCTCCAGGATCTGCCACCGGAAGTGGGTGGAGGTGGGTGGTGCTTATTTTTCTCCGGTGGCATGAGAGTCCAAGAATTTTCTGAGAAACTAGATCACTCTAAAGGGCAGGACCCTCCTAAAATAACTGATCCAAAGGGCAGTGCCATCCAAAAAGAGCTCGAGATCTCGAAAGGGCAGCACCGGACCATCTCCAAAAAAACGATCAAAATAGCTGGAGGAAAAGTAACAGCAGCCAGATGACCTAAAATCAAAACAATGTTGACTGATTTTGGGTCCAAACTCTTGAAGGCCGTCGGAGATGTGAATGGTCATCGAGGTAAGATATGTGTTTTGAAAACATAGGGATGGCCTCTCTGGCGGTGTAGCTCAAATAGGATGACCTCCCAGAACCGTTGCGTTTGGAATAAAAGAACACATAAGAACCGTCTCAAAATCGACCGTGTTGCTGTCGAAATGCTGCATTATGATGCATTTCGCTCCAGTGAAAGATCTGTCGAAATGGATGTACCTAGGGACCGACTGAGCCTGACTGACCTCTGCTTTGATAGGAAGTGTGACCATATTTTGGATAGTTGATCCTCCAAAACAGGGGTCACTCAGGCTCCAGGTACATACTCACCTCCAGTTGACCATCCGAAAAGGAGATACATGTGCATGGATAATCATGGATATATGCTTGGACGCTACGGAGTCATCTGGATTTGTTTAAAGTTGCTCCCGCACGGTCCGAACAATCCTTCTTCCCCACCGTCCTGTGCCAGGATCTAAGAGCATTCCGTGTACTGTCACCGACTCAGGGTAAATGAACCAGCCTGGGGGGTCGCAGGCTGAGATTCAGCAACGTGTTAAGCAGGAGTTGGGTGGAAGAGCGCCACAAGTTACCGCCAGGGTGCCAGAGAATACAAGTTTGCCTAAAGATACAAATCTCCAAAAGCCGGACATGTCCGAACGAATGGACACATCTGAACGGATTGTCCAGTGTCACTGTGTCTCCTTGCGGTATCTTGTAGCAATAACTTGAGGCACCAGGACCGACACCAAGAGAGAGTAGGACGCCAAGGCCTACCATGGAGGCACTCAGTCTTCTGCAGTGGCCGTCTCAATGATCGATGAATTAAGACCAAAAAGTAGCCATACCCAGAGGCTCATGGACCCTCAAACTGCTACCTGTTTGAGGTCCAAAACCCTGGCTGTCAGGGTCAAAACCCTGGCTATGAGGGTCCAATGAGCCTTTGGGTAGTACACTTGTTATAAAGCATACAGTATACCAGGAGCATCCTGTCAAGGTGTCCTGGCTGGACTACCCTGCACTGCTTAGCAATCTCCAGCCACGACACCCAGACAGGATGCTCCAGGTACGCAATCCCCCCCAGCTTCCGTTGGGCCACAACGACTCGTCCCAGTTTGCCCGTAACAACGTGCTCCGTTCCGCTGAGGGCCTGAGGGCCAGGGCTCCAAAACGCTGCTCCCGATCCCTCCATCCCACCGTCACGGTGCCTCCTTGACCGGTGAATTCGGTGTCTGCATAGTGCCAATAGGTGACCTAAATCTCCAGTCGGGGTCGTCGGACAGTCAAAAAATGAACCGAAAATTGTATATACTGTATATATATATATATATATATGATATATGTCATAATGTCATATAATCATATATGACATCTCCCACTAGACCAGATCAACGAAATCCAGACTCCAGACTGCGTCGAGACGCCTCAAGCTAATGAAGGATTCTTCCATCCGCGGGATGGGATGACGGTCAACTGATTCACTTTCAAAAGTTCCAAAGCCGGATTCAGAGCTACTTTCAAGATGGACCCAAACAAACAAGCTTGCTCAACACTCCGACAGGCCACCGCGTTGACACCCTGGTCCACTGCCACCGCCTCAGAAGCACCACGGCTTTGAGCGCTAATCAGCTGATTGTCAGCTCAATTGTGCTGACAGGAGAACCCTAACAATCCATGGGGCTGGAATATTTGCCTGCATTGGTATTGGGGTGATTTTAAGATGTTTGTAGGTTCAATGCAGGTAAATTACTCCAGCCCCATGGATTGTTAGGGGAAGATGGACTCTAGTTTGACTCTAGTTGGGCAACTCTCTTTCCATGGTATATGAATGAATGTATATGCGATATCTTCTGAGCCCGACGAGACCTACTGGAAAAAGGTCCATCCCATGAGACTTTTTGCCGCAATGGTTGCGAATGATAGGAACATATAAGAACTGTAGGGTCCAAAAAGGTCAGTCAATGGATGGGTGGAAGGTTGTTTGAACGATTCAGTGGTGACTTGCTTTAACAATATGCCACGTTCCGAAGTCCTACTAGTGAGTCTTCGTCAGCTACCACAGGGCCAGCTATTTGTGGCTGACCTATCAGTTTGGAGCAGTGCAGAGTTGTATTCAGGCTTTGAATCAGGTGTGTTGCTGTTGGGCGGTTTTCATTGCATGGTGTGTTTTTTCACAAGTCAACAAAAACAAAACACGGGACAAAAGCCAGGAAACATGATTGAGTGAGTACCTATGTTAAATTCTTCTTTACAGGAATTAGGACGCATGTCTATCCTTTCACTGCGTGAGATGGAACATGGTGGAAAAATCACCCAGTGTCCTTCAAAGAACAAACCAGGAATCGCTAAGGCATACAGTTTCGATTCGTTCCGTATATACTCCTTCAAGCATCACATGATTCCCCCGTCTGATCACCCCTGATTCAAAACATCTTCTGTCATTAGCTAGTTGCGAAACGTGCAGTTGACTGCGAAACGAGCGGGTCAACCAAACTCTCCACCATGTTCTATCTTTTCGCTGGGAAAAATCAATATCCATCAAAATTCCAACACCAGTTCAAAAGGCTGACTTCCTGGCGAGACGACCGCGTCTTTTGACTTTTGTTTCTCGGGCTCAACCCGTCACCCGTCACCCGGCGCGTCGTGCGTCCGTTTCCACCTGAGCGAGTGACCAGCTGATCAGCCTTCGCTTGAGCACTGCCCTGGAAAAACCTCGGCAACCACGCCGCAGCGGAGCGCGCGCTTCCGCAGCGGAGCGCCGCACTCTGAGCGGGTTCGCTGCGCAGCGAGTTCGGCAACCGATGTCTGAGGATGGGACTTTTGCCGGGAACAGATGATCTCTCGTCCCCAAAAAAACCCTAGACCTCCAGTCGTCCCTTCGGCAACCGGATCGGTGGGACTGGGGGTGGGTGCCAGGAGGGTCCGGTCCCTTCTGAGGAGGTACGACTGGAGGATCTATAGGGAAAATGTTGGAATGGGGACCCTTGCGGTACCGAGCTCCTACCGACCCCCGTGTGTTCGGGTGGGCGAACGTGTTCGGGGAGAGTCGCGGTGTGGGACACCCCGGTCCCACATCAGTCGGGAACATCAGCTTTGGGTCGGCATTGGTCATCTTGTTGGGGATCCTTGATCCTTGGCCGCTCGATTTTGGGAGGTAGGGAAATTTCCATGGAATTGGCCGACTTTCACAGCCAGTAGTAGGTAGCAGGTACCAAGAGATGTGTTTACCTCATGTCACTTCCAAGAGGCTAAGCATGGCTGAGTTGTCATGTTGAGTCTTCAATGGACGCAGCAGCGCTGCTCCAGCGTTGTCGAATCGACACCAGAAGTCCAACTGGGTCCTCCAGAATTCCAGAGATCAAAACCCTACACACCTGAGGAACCTACAGGAACCTATACAGGAACCTACACACCTGAGGAACCTGTAGGTGCCGTGGGACCTGCGGTCCGGTTCACCAGTTCGGACCCGAACTGCCCCGCCGCGCAGACGGCTCGCGCGCCAGACGGCTCGCCAAGCGGCTCGCTCAGGAAGATCGGGATGGTACCCCCCAGTTGTTGTGCGTTCTTCTTCCTTTCAGCGTCGTGGGCTTAGGTGAAAGCGAGGTCATGATAGACAGCAAGTTGGACGACGTCATGATATGGAGAATGCGGCGAGGTTTCACCCATCCAACCGCAACACTTGTTTCTCCTTAAAGTAAGTGTGCATGTGATTGATTGATAGTCCCCAGCTCGGGTCTTGCAACATGTGCGACGACTATCAGCAGCGTAAGTATATAAGATATATACCTAGAAGATCCTTTCGGCAGAAATTCTTGCCTTTTTCGGGAAGAGCGGCTCTCCCCGTCCTGGGGCGGAAATCAAGTTTTTGCCGCGGAAATGTTTTTGTTGCCGCAAATTTTCCCTTTCAGGAATCTAGTGAGTTCTATATAGAGCAGTTGAATCTTTTTGGTGGTTTGCATGTGCATTGGGCATTTCTGCCTGGAATGGTCACCTCAATGATAAAAAAAAAGATGGCGGCGCTTAAGTTTCCACCTCCACCTGCAAATCTGGCAACCATGCTTTTGTTTTTGAAGTTTTCTTTTGCGGAATGAGCACACGAGCAGTAAAACCAGTCCAAAGTTGAAAACACCTGGCGCGAAAATGCCCGGGAAAAAGGCGGAAATACCCGGGAAAGAGGCGGAAATACCCGGGAAAGCGGCGGAAATACCCGGGAAAACGGCGGAAATTTCCTGGCAGAAGGCGGGATTCAAGAACAGTGCCCTTGAAGGGCTTGAACATATATCGCAGCCTCTTTGTGAATGTCATCAATTTAGAAGTAGGATGTCAGGTCTTGAGATGTGAAACTATGGCCTTGCAGAACGATATGTGGTCTGCAATCATGGAAGAGACAACCTGGTCGGTGTTAGGCAGTGGTGATGGTTTTTGAATTGCTATGTCGGATTTTACTCGAGCCAAAAATTCCCCGCTGGCCGCGGAAATTCCTACCTGGCGCGGATTTACCCTAAATCCGCGAATCCTCCCGGGCAAATCGGACTGAGGCAGAAATTTTTGCCCCAGGTGCTTTTAGGTATTATGTATATTATATAGAAATGTTGGAATCGTAAAACACTTAAAATTATAGAATATAATACAAATTAATAAAGCAAGTAACGGGGTACAAAACTAGAGTACGGAATCGATGTGAATCCCCTATAGGTCTCCTGGCCACCCCCTCCGGCCATCGGTTCGGTGGGGGTGGGTGGTATTGGGGGGGTCATAGACCATCGGTCATCGGGTCGGAAATGGGCCGAGGCAGGAGCCCATTGCGCGCCGTCACGACGCCAAGCTTCGCCAGCTGAATGACCTCCTCGAAAGTGCTGGTGGCCGGCGGCACCTGGAGCGTGGCGAGGTGGGGGTCGTGGCAGTTCCGGGTGATCAAAGGGAGTTTACTACATGGATCTACATGGTGAGGGAAATGAATGATGATATAAGGCTTATAAGGGAAAGGAAGTACATCAAGGAAATGGTTGAGACTTGCAAAGTATAGTTGCAAGATGTTGCAAGATTTGGTCTTGGCTCCCCACACGTAGGCTCGTAGACGTTTTCCGCAGACCATTTGGGGATGGGCCAAAACCACCCATGTACCTTGGTTGAAGTTACTTGGGAGGTGAAACTTACCGATTGCTACCAAACAGCTTCACCTGGTGGAAGCAGTGGCCTGACTTTCAGTCAGCACGGAGCCTTGGCTACGCCTACAGGTGACCAGAGCCGTGTGGCAGGAGGAGTTTCTGTGAATCAAGTTCAAGGTTCTTCTTCTTCTTCTTCTTTTTGGCCTTCACCACAGTTTGGAACAACTTACGGGTTAGCACCTGGATGGGAGTGTGGACACCAGCAAGGCGTTTCACCACCTGTTGGGACTTGGGAGAATGGAGGTTCACAAGGTTGTCCCCCACCATGTCTGGCAGGGTTTTGTCCTCAAAGTCCACCACCTGGAGTTGATCCCGGTCAACCGGAGAAGCCGGGTGCCAAGAAGAACCGTTTCTTGGGCTGATTAATTGGAGCTCTTCAGCACCCTTCAGCACCAAACAGGCTGCTCAGATCATGCGTAGCTAAGCTGTTCGCGTTGGGATCGACTGATCAATCCTGAGTGGAGGAACAAAAAGGACGCGGCTGTTGTGGAGGTCTGCCCATGTTGGATGACCACCAAGAAAATCACACCCAATGCCAATGTTCGATGCTAAAAGTGAGTTGCACTAGCCGTCACTAGCCAGGGGTTGGGGACCTCTCTGTGGGGAAGAACTGGACACCCACAGCTCCAGATCGCTCCCTCTGTGCACCAGCTAGAACCTAGTGAAAGGATGACCGCCTCTAGGAGAGGTTCTTCATCTCCAAGGCACATAGTAGTGGAAGGCCAGGATCAAGCGCTCCTGCTTCGCATAGGAATCGAAGCGTTTCTTGACCTCGATCGACGATCGAAATCTCGAGGTGAACCACACGCTGAAAAACTTTCAGCTGAGAGAAATGAGAAAAACGAACACACATCAGCGAATCAAGACCCACCAGGACCATCCTGTCTGGTTGTCCAATAGACTAGGTCTCCATTGCGCACCCATTTTTCCAGTGCTAGGCAGGCGGAAACGGACATGAGATCCTCCCCCCCCAACAAAAGGACGGACGATGTGAGGGCCATGTGTGGCTGATGAGATCCTCATCTCCCAATGTAAAACCAGGTGTCTGGTCGTTTAGACCGTGGAACTGCAGTACAAATGAGTGATGAAACGAATCTCACGGCCAAACTCAATGCTTTATGACCGTTTCTGGCGGCAAACCAAGTCTCTTGGGCTTCCGCTTTGCGCTTGCGCGGCTTTCGCGCCGGAAGGGCTTATCTTGATTGGGTTGGCCATAAACATAACCCTGCAAAATTCCAAGGTGTGTGTAGATTAAATAACCCAAACAGTCCGTGTATGGTATATCTACCTGCCTCGGGGTGGTTGAAAAGGGGTGAATGAGGTCGCATATACATTCCATTCGATTGGCCCCTGTGGTAAGTATAATTGATGAATACATTGGAGATCTTTGACACATCTCATCTCCGGGTTACCATATTCAATCATCAACATGCTAACAGCCGCTCTTGTACCTTACTCAAGACTGAGGCTTCAGATCATCGATCTGACCAGCATATAGATATACCTAGAGCCTGACTGACCTCTGTTTTGATAGGAACAAAACCACATATTTTGGATAGTTGATTCTCCAAAACAGGGGTCACTCAGGCTCCAGGTATATATATATACATATATCCTGTAAATATGTTAGATTAACAAAAACACACCATGCTGGTCCTGGAGACCAAGACCAGGCGCACAAAGGAATTTTGGAGGCTTTCTTAAACCGTCTTCAGGATAAAGGCGATCAAAACCAACATAGACACCCTGACACTGACACCAAGATTCCCTGGTGGATGACCTGCATGTTCATGGTGGTATCTTGGTCGTTCACCCAGTGTTGAGGTGCTCTACTGTGCAACTTGATTGAAAGAATCTGATGTTCATGATTGTCTCTGTCTTGGGTATATCCCATTACCAGGGCCCAGTAGATGATGACGGCTTTGTTTTTAGACTCCAAAATGCTCATGTTTGCCGACTCTTACAGGTGTCCTATGACATCCCCGAAGATAGATGTTCTCTGTCTGCTTCCTCCCTAAGGGGCACACACATTGTTCACTCCCTCCAGTCCGCGAACAACACTGCGTCGTCCGCGTGGCGTTCGAGGGAAGTCCCCAACAAGACAAGAGCTTAATGAAGCAGGATTCGCCTTCCACAGTGCCTCAGCCATGAGTTGAAGGTGAGACATGGAAAACAACCGACGAAATACTGTCCTTCGAGGTTGGGGGGCTACCCCAAAAGGTTGATAGAAAACAGCAGTTTGTAGGGTGAGGCATTGAAGTCTTTGGGAAATGGGTTGAAGCAAGATGGTCCTATGGTGACTGCCAAATCTGCATGTGTCTATGTCCTTTTTCTTAAATAGATATGCAATATTATTCACACAGCCTTTGGATGCCTGTTCAGCTAGTTGGGGACAAACAGCTGTAGACTCTAAGCCTCTAAGCATTTGCAGCCAAGAATGGGATGTGCACATTCCAAGCTAGAAACTGGCAAAGCTTCAGGTGGAGGAGCATGAGCCCCCTCACCTCTTTGGGCCTTTTTGACAGGTTCAGGTGCCGGATCTCAAACTACTGTACCCACCTACTTCCAGTTGACCCCTTCTGAGCGACCAAAATTCCAACACGAAATGTTCAACCATTGGTTTAATAAGTCCGCTTGAAAGGCCAGGTAATCCTTGTCTCAGCAACGTTTTTCTTGGTTTCATGATGAAAACCACCTAAAACCTGAAACCATGCAGCACCCACAAAAATAAGTCCTCTTCATGGATCCAAAATCCATCCCCATCTCCACGCGCTCTTCGCGGTGCGGCGCTTGGGAAGCGCCAAGTGGCTTCCGAAGTTCGCGACAGCGATCGGGCACTTGGGCACCGATGGGTCAGCATCTAAGGCCTCTAAAACGTCGGCCTGGAAGGATAAGATCTGGTTCCAAACCTCAACCGTTCCCGGCTCGGCTGGCCGTGGCTTTGCGGTTTTGGCCGTCGGTCAGAATGGATGGGAACTGGACACTAACGGCTTTGGAGTGTTTTCCCTGCCGAAGTGAGCAGGGACGTGTGCCGAGTTCTCTGGTGTCGGGGGAAATGGGAATCGGATTCTTTATTTCCCCCAAACAGTGTGGACACACTAGGTAGTCTAGATCTCTAGACGTTCTGATGCTACACCTCTAGACCTCACACACACACTCACTGTTTGGGGTCTCTTGCCGGGATAATTTCCGGTCACTGTTCCCCTGATACGTGTATACATACCAGGAGCATCCTGTCTGGGTGTCCAATGCGCGACTCTACACTACTTATGAATCTCCAGCCAGGACACCCCTTGGATTCGGATTGTCCAGGTATGTATATATCTCATTACACCTAGAGCCAGACTGACCTCTGTTTTGATAGGAAGTGTGACCATATTTTGGAAAGTTGATCCTCCAAAACAGGGGTCACAAAAAGGCTCCAGGTGTATATACATATAATCCCTACAAGTCCAAAGACCCAGTAAAACCTGGTCTTTGACCTCAGTAAGTAATGAGGTCTTTGACTTGTAGGGAATATTAAGATTATATTCCTGGAGCCTCAGTTCGCTCCTCAGAAAGTGGGCAGAAGCAGAAGTACCCTGGTTGACCGCACGGATCAAATGTCAACCTGCCATGGCCTGGTCAAAACCATGTGGTTCACGGATCATGTGTTTGGAAACATTGAAACATGTCAACCGGGTGAGCCTCTGTAAGACTTGAGGAAATGGACCCCCCCAAGCTCTCGTGGGGATGAAACCGATTCGGAAGACGAGCGCGGCCGTCGAGTCGAGCGGGATCCACCCCGCGTTCGGTCCGGTGATTGAACCCGACCCTGCCTACATAAAGGAGTCGAACACATCACCGTACCGAGGATGGCAGTTCCCTAGGGCTCCTGTCCCATATCCTCAGGTTCGGTGGTTAGACCCCCCCTGGCACCCACCATAACCATCTTCTCAGGAGGTGGTTGGAGCCCTAGGGGTTGATCCCTAGGGTCATGTTCTAGTCTTGTGCAGTCATGGTTGCCTGTGATGAGAAAACCCTGGATGCAAAGGGAGAAAAAACTGCTTGTGTTCTTGTCGATGAGCATTGTAGGAGCTTGGACAACTTAGTTATTTGCCACTGAGAGACTCAATAGATATCCACCAGGTATGCAAAGACTCTTGATCTTGTGGAGAAATAAACATAGGAGACAGGCGGGACACAATATAGTATAATCATAGATTTTATGAAGAACGATTTAAGGTAGAACAATTAAAGCATGAGGACACAAAGAGGGTGGGTCTTTTGGACAATCAATATTGGGGAAGAAGGGGATAATTCCTCAACCGTTCCTTTCTCGAAGGTGACCCATGGAATTGAAAAGCAAAAAAACAACAAAAGCATCACCATGTTCAACTCATGGCGATAAGGCACTGTGAGTGCATAGCAAACATCGGGCAAACCTGCAAAGAGAGGTTCGTTGATGAGTTCCACTGCTACCACGTTCTCGTACCTCGGACGTCCACGAGGTACTCGTCGACCACGAGTCAGTCATCACCGTGGATCAACGGTGTTTCCCTCGCATCCGGGCCACGTGGATCAACAGTGTCATGTTGATCCAGATGGATTCACATACCTGGAGTATATATATATATATATATATGATGTTGATCTTTCACATGCCCCCTAGTATATCTACATACAGAATCGGCACCAAGGACCAAACCATTGGGAGTACAATGGGGGTACAATGTCCACATTGAACTGTACCAGTCACGTGGAGTTGGCTAACTTCGTACTTACTTTCATCCAGCGGAGATCACACGGGCAAACCGACTCCCTTCCTCCGTTCCGAGTCCGGCACCCGACAAGGGGTCGAACCCTCGAAATCCAAGGGTTTTGGGGGGCACCGAAGCCAACGGTTTGGTTTTCGGGTGCGGATCCAAACAGGGTGACTCTTGAGTATTAGTATCAGTCAAAAAGGAGTCAAACAGTTTCAAGAATTGAGCAAAGCAGCCAGGCACCAGTTGAGCCCGACCTTTGTCTTAAATTACACCAGCATAGACCCAGATAGCTAGGCAGAATCCCACGACCTGTTGACATGCGACCGGCTGGAACAAGAATGTACGCAGCCAGCACAGCCAGCTTACGGCGCCTCCACAGCGCGCACATTCAGCTGACACCAGCACCGGTGCGCTTTGCCAGCTGACAACACCGGCAGCGGCGCCAGCGCCCGACCAGTGCCGCCGCCCGTCTTAAACGCGCGCTCAGCCAGCTCACAGCACCAGCGCCCAGGACCACAACACCGGCGCCCAGCACCAGCGCCCAGCGCCGGCACTCAACGCCCGGTGCCCTGTCTCCACCAAGTGGACAGGCAGCGCCAGCTCACAGCACCGGCACCGGCCCCCGCTGTGTCTACGTGCCACCACCCAGCAGAGGCACCCTGTCTCCACCACGCGCACAGCCAGCTCACAGCACTGGCCGGCGCCCAGCAGCCAGCACCGGCACCAGCGCCCTGTGCACAGCCAGCTCACAGCACCAGCACCGGCGCCCAGCACCAGCACCAGCACCAGCAACCTGTCTCCACCACGTGGCGCCCAGCACCAGCAACCTGTCTCGAAAGCGCGCGCGGGGAACTCATTGTTATTTGAAGTAAGAACCCCATAGCTTCGCTATCTGGGGAAAAAAGGAATATACTGTATACAGTTTTGGAGGATCAACTAGTCAAAATATGATCAAACTTCCTATCAAAACAAAGGTCAGTCATATATATATATAAAAGGCATTGCTGGTCTAGGGGAATTGCTTCGCCAGGAGTTCTGGCGGAGTTAGTATCTTCATCAGCCAGCTTCGATCAAGTGTGAGTCCAGCTCTGTTGCAAGCCATGGGAGGTGAAACATTGGGGAATTCAAAGCTGGGGATTCGGGAAACTTCCGCGGCAAAAACAACTGTTAAAGTCCTCAAGTCTTGCCCGTCCTTAGATGTTCTGTTAAAAGCTTCAACCTTTAGGGGTGTCTTTAGAAGTATACTCTGTTTGCTTTTACAAGGTACAACCACTGACGATCAGTCGAACTCCACGAAGTTCGGACCGAACAACAGACTTGGTGCCTGCGAATCTTCCGACCGTACAAATGCTGCTTCCTGCCATTCGAGGTGCTTCTCCCAGACGCTACACAGGTATTTGGTCACAGCCACCTTGCTTCGAAAGTCGATTACACTCAACTGGAAGTTGAACAGCATGGCTTTTCTCAGGAGGCTCAAAGCCGAGGACAGTCCACACCCAAAATTGGAAGGCTTTCTTTCAGGTTCCGTTATAGCTACTGGAAGCAGAAGGCTGTTCAATCGCATTCGAATCTGCAATCGCAACACCCATTTCTGAGAACCACATACCTGACATGCACAAATACTCTTCCATTGTAGAGTTGAGTGCAACACTGCAACGTTCATACCACTTGTCTTATAGAGCCACGACCCTTCAGAGTGATGTTTATATGTGCGAGCACCACCTGTCGGAGCATGATATGTCATGGTTGAACTCTGATTCGTCGATTGCCACGTTGATTCGAACAAGAGTGTGTGACCTGTACAAAAGAAATTACAAGAATACATGCCTCAAGGCGCAAGGGTATTCATATTGCTTGAAATTAACCAATCTGGAAAAGGAGCAGGGACATTGTTGTGGCCTTTGAGGTAGTTTGTGGCGAGAGAATTCTCTTCTGATCTTAGCATGCTGAGGTACAGTATCCAAACAACATGTTCGTGATGATTTGGTCATGGTGGACACAAGGTAGTTAAGGAAACATATGATGCAAACCTCCTTTCGGTGTAAGGTTCTTGTTTGTGGCACTGAGCGACACTGGCCACATGCTGGTCAATCCCTATTCTTTCCACAGGAAAGAAGCGTTCTTGGTGCCAATCGAGGCGTGTTGTTATCTGTGTTTAATCAAACAAATCCCATACACTCCATGTCTTAAGGTCACAAAGGCGTGCTGAATGGAGGTTAGGGGTGCCCATTATCCACTCACTTGGGGACTAAACACCACCCCTTTGTGACTCCTGGGTATGGAATATATGCCGCCCCATTGACCCCCCCTGGCACCACCCCAATTGATCGGCATATATGGCAGTCCCATGGAGCGTTTGGGACATGTTTTAAATCAAACAAATGTAAAGTCCCTCCATCCGTTTAACTGGATCAGGACTCCTCTAGAAGCGCTCGATGCCTCCGACGTAAACATGGACCAAGCACTGATTGACTTGGGGCCCCCCTGTTCAGCTATTCAATCATAGGGCTCCAACTACCTACTGAGAAGGTGGTTGGGGTGAGTTTGTGGGCGCAACTACCCTCTGAGGATGTGGGCCAGGAGCTCTAGGGCAAGAAAGAGCTGCGAGACACAAGTATTTGGTTGAATTTGATTGATGAATGCACAACTGAAACAAGGACCCTTATTCACAGTAGAGAGCCTTGTCATTTGGTGAAGTCTTTTCGCAGCTGGGGTGAGGTCGCCATTAAAACTTGGCCAACCATGTAGAATTCCAGGTCGTTTTTAATAGCATACCAGCAACTTCCTGTCCGGGTCGGACTACCCTACACAACATACGTGAATCTCCAAGTTTCAGACCCCCAATGTGTGGAATGGCCGGTCTCATTTGGTTCCAAAACCATCCGGAGAAAACGACTTTTGGAGTTGAGGATCCTTTCTTGGGCAACACCAAGAGTCAACCCCTGCCAAACAAGGCACAAAAGGCTCGAAGAAAATCGCTCGATCAGCAGAATTGTGTGCCGAGGCATACATCCTCGGCTGCTTTTTCGGATTGGGCATCTGCCCCCCGAAGTGGTTGATGATGGTGGATCTGGGAGCTTGGGCCGTTCCATCCTCCCCCAAAAATCCGTGATTTTCTCCCAGAAAGCCGTAAACAAACACTCCCCCACAAAGACCATTTGTCTGATCATGGAGACCTCGTTTCCCAACACAGGTCCACTGCGGATGTAGAAGGCGCCTTGGCAGCGCCTCCGGAGGCCATCTCTTTGCAGGAATACATCACTGCGGTCACTGTTTGCACGTCACGTTGATGCTGTTGACCCATCTGAGGAGCTCCAAAAGGATTTCGATCCATGATCCAAAAGGTGGACTCTTAAAGAAAAACACACACACACATGGGAATACATATATCAAAACAATGTCTTTAAACAAAGTACATAAACGTAAGCACATACAAAAAAGATAACACAAGTAAAGAAACAATCAACAAAGGTATAAACTCCATTAAACTACCTCTTCTGTGAACTCCTAACCGAGTGCCTCAGTCACTTCCCCGCTTGTACATGACGCAAAACAATGGCACAGCCCTGGAAGACTGGATGAAGAACGCAACCCCCACTTGAAATACACTTCTTTACATGACTCGTTATATATATATATATATATTTTTTATTTATTAATTATATTTGTTTCATTATCTGAACCACCATGTGCCCTTCGACAACTTCGACCGAGATATATGTTTGTTTTGTTAACGTGTAAAACAACGAGAATCTTCAGGCTTTGGATGGTGGGGTTGGCCACTGGGCTTGGGGGCCCGGCCCAGGGGGTTGGGGTTACCTAAAGGTCGGGTCATGGCTCTCGGGTCGCAGCTCGAATGGCCTGGGTAGGTTGCCGTCTTCGTCTTCGGTTCAGTCACTGAGAGCTGCTGCTAGTTTCGGAGAAGCTCTTGGTTGAACAAAGAAACCATTGATGTTGATGGCAGCAACGGCCATATAGTGACTATGGGCCATGGGTTTAGCTCCAGAAAGCACCTGAATCCAACCGATATTCGTTGATGACAGCAACCCCAATTTTGTAAATCATATATGGGCTTAAGCCCAAATTTAAACGCCTGCTGTATATCTTAACTCAGAAGTACCCAACATGGATCTCTCAACTTTGAGCCTCGCTGTCTCGCTGTCGGCTCCTTCACCTCCCTGTCGAGTCAGGTCCGATCGGAACCTCCTGTTCGTGCGGCCCCACGTTCTTCAACGAATCACCCCTGCACTCGGAATCATCACGGAAGAGTGGACAACTTGCCTATATACCAGGGCCCCGGGGCCATGGGGTGTCGAACTATAGCTCCGAACAGAGGTGATTCGGGATGTCCATGTCTACCACCCCGGAAAAGGGGGCCCTGGTATATATGTGTGTTTTATTTGGTTAAAACGTTTATACAAATTTGGACATCTAATGTTTTCAGGTGGGATCTGTTCACTGCTGTCGCTGGTCTTTGTGGCGGAAAGAACCCAATGCCTCGGCCACGCCGGACCATCGCCACGGCTCCGCTTGGCGGCATTCTGCACTTGCGCCGAGGTCACCAAAACGCTCCAGCGGCCATCAGAGTTGTTGGTTCGAATGCTGGCGTTGCCCACCTGGCAGCGGCCCCCGGGCCGAAGACGCGCCCTGGGTGTGAAGCTGTGCTCAGTTAGCGAAGACTGAAATCCCCTATACAACCTTAAGATATCCGTAGGATGTGGAAGATGCGCGGATGAGTTGGGGAGTGATCTTAAAAGGTCTTTATAGGGTCAATGTAGATGAATATTCCAGTCCTGCAGGGAGTCCCCCATGGCTTGTTGAGGATCGTCTCCGCTCTCAACTGTTCGTTTCGTGCACCGGGCCGGGCATTTCAGCCGAAGCAAAGGGCGACATGGGGCAGTCAGGTGGTCGACCGAACCCCTGCGGTTTCTGGCAGGTTTGTCGAAGCTGGCTATGCCCACACACTTTCAACTATATCATCTACCCTACACCTCGAAGCACCTCCTCAGGTGGTATGACTGGACCCTCCTGGCACCCAAACACCTTCGAGACGAAGGTAGGACTGGAGGTCTAGGGCTAGTGGTCTGAAAGGCTCGTTGGATCCGTTCGCTCCAGTTTTGGACCGAGCAAAGCAACACAAGTTGCTTCAGGTACCACGAGCCTGACAGACATGCGTTTTGGCTCGGAAGACCGGGTGGAGAAACGCAGAAACGGAGAATCTGGGGGCCGATCTGGGTTACTGGGTTCAACCGAGTCCCATCCAGAAACACATGGTTTCTTCCAACATGGCAACTGAAATCCTAAAAAAGAAACATGACAAGTGGATACGTGATGATACGTGACTGTGTCTCCACATCCATGATTCTGTGTTTCTGTTTGGGTTTCCAGCGTCGACTTGTTCTTCTTCGCTTCACCTTCGCTCGATGTCCGTCTTCTCGGCTCGCTCCACCCCATCCTTTCATCTAGGTTGCATTCATCCAGGCAGGGTTCCCCGTGTTCGTCATCGCCTTAAATGCCCAATCGCTGTTGAGGCGAACGAGACCATATACTATTATGTATACTTACTTGTAACATCCAGTAGCAGTGGATGATGATAGATATGTTGTTTTTTGCTCATTACAAGCCAAGTAGGGTCGATAGATATGGTATGATATGTTTACTGACTGTTACAGGTTTTTATAGGACAAACACTCCATGGGACTGCCATAGGGCTGCAGCCCCATTGACCCCCCCTGGCACCACCCCAATTGATCGGCAGTCCTACGGCAGTCCCAGACGGGTCGTGTCTGGGATAGGACAGACGACATGGACAAACCAGTAACTTCGATCCACTGAAATGGCTTTCTCGCCCCTCGTCACCTGGCTCAACTCGTCACGGCCCCATCCCGAAGTCGGCAGGCTTTCTCCGCTTTCGGCAGGCTTTCGGTGGAGGAGGGTGTGTTCCAACCCAAAAGTGGTTGATTTGGTGGGATCCCAGGATGATAAGCTGCAGTAGAAGACCAAGTCAAAAGAATAGAAACACATCGGGTCACCAAGGCACCCGGGAACTGAAGACACATCCTCGACCTGTAGCCACCATGGTTTTCCCACCCGTCGACCCTATAGTTGCATGATGTCCACTGTCTCAACATTTCAATCCCTATCGCTACACCGACTTCGCCGCACCTCCTCAAAAGGTATGACTGAACCATCTTGGCACCCACCCCAGTCCCACCGAACCGAAACGAAGGTACGACTGGAGAGGTCTATAGGTCTAGGTCTAGGGTATACATTGCTGCATCACACGCACCCCTTTTGGAACCGAAGCCTTCGCACCTTCAGCTTCCGCCCACCCACCCAACACCTCCGAACGCGACCACCGCGAACGCTCAACTCGTGCTCCCTCGGGTCACTGGGTGTGAAGTGGCCGAGTCGCAGAGTAGGGCCTCCATGGATCGGCCGCTTCTTCGGGATATGTGGTGATGTCCAGATTGAAGCGCGTGGCAAGGCAGCTCTGGGCGTCGCGTAGCCGGCGCGTAGCGCGTTCGGCGAAGTCCGGGCGCCCACCGGATCGGTGAACCGAGGAGAGGCCCGAGGCCCGGCGAGGTGGGGGAGTGTGCTTCGGTGGGGGAGATGCAGCGAGAGTCGGGACATGCGCCAGGGAGATGCGCCATGAGGGACACGTAGAGAAAGTGGAGAATCAACAAACTAAAACCTCCTTTTCTTTGCGGAGGGGGCGTATGTTTTTTGTGGAGAGGTGCCTTTTGGTCTTGCAAAACAGTCATGAAATATCAGGAACCACAAGCGATATTGTGCAACTGTGCATTGCTCGTATGAACATGCATTAACCGAAACAACAAACGTGCTTGTGACCGACCACCAAAGCGATGCCGGTGGCTGCTTGGGGGCATGGCTCTCAACTTGGTGTTCCCGGTGGTTTTTTTCTGAAATGGTTGCCCTAAGAATCCTATCCCAAAAACTCCATGTATGGAATATTAATGGAATATATACCTACCTATACATCTGCCTGCAATAGGCTGGTGTAAGGGGTCAATGTACATGCAGGTTCAATATACATGGAGTGTCTGGTCCACCGGTCGAATGTCACGCATGGAGTGCCTGGCAGCCAGGCCATGGCGGCCATGGGCATGGACGTCGTGTCCCCATCATGGATTCGGCTTGTAATTTCTAGTCCTCATGACCAACGGTCCATGTTTCAAGAAGGCCTCCAAGTACCTTCTGAGAATGTGTTTGGGGTGGGTTTGGAGGGTCTAAACACTTTCTGAGGAGGTACTCGGAGGTGTAGGGATATAGAAGCTGTCGTCACCTGAAGATTGAGGGTGAACTACTGCTGGCTGGCTGGCTGGCTGGCGCCAAGCAGATCTTCCACTACCTTCAAGACTAACCCTGCAGATCTGCTGAGGCCAAATCTTGGCAGCCTTAGCATTCATTTGCAAATCTTGTGTACCAAACGGCCTAAATCGGGAAAAAATCCTGAGTCCGGACCCAAAACTACATATTATGTAGTAGGCTATGCAAGCTCTGTGCGTTCTCAAAGCACCTATGAACAACCACAGAAACTGAAGGTGGAATCCCCTGAAATCGATTGAAGCACTCTTGCAGGATGTTCCCTACACTGGATGCACCAAATCCTGCAATTTTGGAAGATCTCCTGCATCAGCTCATGTCCAGCCCCACCGCACCCTCCGCGTTTTCGAGACACTGGCAGGCAAAAGAAGGGCTGAAGCGGAAAGCTTGGCGAGACCACATAGGGCGTGCGGCAGGAGTCAGGGCAGCAAGACCAGCAGCTGCTGGCAAAGCAGCAACAGCAGCAGCACTGCTCACAGCCTGCACTGATGGACGAGAAAACAATGTAGGGCTTACCAAGAGCTGGTGTTTGGATGCTAAACGAGTAGATGATAGGCATCTTGAATGTCCCAAACCACGTCCGGTGTCTTTGCCACTTCCAGTATATAAACCTGACAACCTGCCTATGCCCTGATGAGGCCCTCCTTCTTCAGACCCTCTCATCCCTGGCCCCATCCGTCAACACCTAGGACCTAGCAAAATGATCAAGATTCACATCTGAATGTCGACCTTGTTGAACAAATAACCCAAACAAACGGTTCGCAAACCTCAAATGGCGAGGCAGCAGGCTTGAATGAATTATTAGATCCACATGACCGGAACTGATCAACATGTGGATTCACTGGGACCATCCCAGGCGACGCTCCGTGACGACGGCGATCGGAGGCGCCCCCGGAGTGATCGATGCTTCGGAACGGATGGCGGCCTCACTCCCAAACGCTCCATGGGACTGGAATCTGCTGCCCCCCAAAAAGACCACCCCTGGCGCACCACCCCAATTGATCGGCATATATGCCATATACCTGGAGTCTCAGTTCGTACCTCGGAAAATGAGTACAGTCGTACCTGTTTTTAAGGGGTCATGTGGTACCTTGGAGGGTCCAGGTACTTGGAGTGCTTGACGTGGACATTGGCCGACTCGAGTCACCCCCCCGGTGACCTTCTCGGCCGAACGGGTTTGGGGGTCAGATCGGTGGTCCTCCAAGGGTCAAGCCCCAAATCCAGGCTCAACGGACGTGAAACAAACCGAAACCAACTCTATAGGAGCCTTCCAACCATGCGGACGGATGAATCAAGTCAGGTAAATGGTTGCCAATCGCTGTCGACCAAAGCCTGGTGGAAAAGACCAGCTTTCCGACATCCGATTGCTTCCAGTCTCCCCAAAATGGATGCTTTCAAATCTTTCAAGAGCTTAGTGAGTCGCGATCCTCAGGTCAAGGGTGCAAAAGAAGAATCATCAGTGCGGAATCAAAGAACGTCGATTTTCAGACCACGGGTCCCAAAGAAGCATTGCAAACATGGTGTTGAAGTAACGACTTCTGCAGTGGCTCTGGGAAGCTTTGGATTTGAAGAGACTTCTTTGGGTTACCATGTGTAGTGCTTTTGTGTGTTGCAAGTAATGGATCTATGCGGTCGAAGACAAAAGAACAAAGAAACAACTTACATAATAACTGCAAAGTCCAGCAACAGCAGCCAGCTCTCTGCTGAAAATCCTCCGTGACCCAGTAGGGGTATCCTTCCTGAGATGTCGCGGGTCAAAAACGCTCTTCCAACAATCAGGTGGTATGCACAAGCAACAGGGTTCATCTACCCATCTACCAAAGCCTTTTGAGATCTCTTGAGTGTTTTTTGTTGATGGCGTCTGGGCATGAATATCCATGATGAACATATATCACCAAATGCTCCAAAAAAACGGTAAAAGAATTCCAGAGCCCAAAACAACGATGGTCATGTTCTTTGAATGAAGCATATATCCTCTACTTGAAGATATCCGTGGGTATGAATTCTACTGCAACGCCCGCAACTCCGTGGTGAACATGGTATTTTGTCCCGAACCTGGGCTCCAACGCGCCACGAACGAGATCCTCTTTCGGCGCCTCCAGTAGCCCTACCATCGGTGTTTTGTTTTACCGTCTCGCCGTTTGTCGCCCAGTCTGCTCCAAATCACGGTGCTTTTGTCTTTGTCCCGACTTCCACCACCTCTAATTCGATCGAATTCGGCCAGCAAGGTGCCGAACCCCAACAGGGGACCGTGGCGCACACGGAAAGGGAAATGGACAAATGGCCAGCACCACGGATGCCGGGTGTCCATGAATAGCCCCTTATAGACGTCAAGGGGTGTCCATGTCTACCACCCCTTAGGGGTCCACCCTGGACATCCTCTGGGTGTTCCAAACATCACCGGTGCAGGAACGCTGGAGTGAGGTGAGCTCTTCGAGTGGTAGCGACTCGTGTGTTCTCCAGACAGTGTGGTGCTCGACTCGTCCGAGCTGCGCGACTCGTTGGACAAAGAACAGCATCTCCCAGACCCAAATGCTCCATGGGACTGGAATAGATGCCTACATCAAATGGGGTGGTGCCAGGGGCTTTTCAATGTAGGCATAGATTCCAGTCCCATTGAGCATTTGGGTCTGGATTGTGATCCTTGCATGACCCTGGGGCATCGTTGGATATGATATGATTTATGTCCCGACAGGGCTCTGATCGTCCCATATCCTCAGGTGGTGAAACTTAGACCCCCCTGGCACCCACCACTGGCCCACCCAACCGACACGAAGGGGCCGGCCAGGAGCCCTAGGGACTGGAACCGGTTAGCAAGAAACTAGTCAGACAATCCAGTCGAAACATCTGGCTTGTCGAATGTTCGTAATTAGTGCCAGTCTTAATGATAGCAACAGGTTAGTTGTGGGATTCCTGGTTCTATAGTGGATAATGGCTACCCCTCAAACTAACACATCAGATCAATATGTGTGTGAAGGGACATGCTCTTCCACGGGCGTATTGCCAACTTCCTATGGAGCCTGAGTCGAAGTGTATCCTCTGGTCCACCTCTTCAACGGCCGTTCGCTTGCCGACCAGGTGGGCTCTCTGGGTCTTAGAAGCTCCAGTGTTCTGCTGGTTAGTGCCAATACTGCCAAGATCTGCCAAGTGTCACCTCCATTCGTTGTGCCGAAGGCATCTTGATGCATGTCCAGAAAAACATACCTAAGCTGCTCCAAGCCAATGCAGTGTCTGTTAAACATGCGCGGCACTCCCCAAAAGCCGATCATGCGTAAGCCTTGTCAAATCAACCCTACACATCCGACTGGCTTGTGTGAGATCCTGCCATCAATCGTCTCCGCTTCTCTCCGCCTAAGACCGAGTGGCTGCTCCTTACACACTCGACTGGGGTTGTGTGAGATCCGCTTCTCTCCGTCTCCGCTTCTCTCCACTAATCGTCCAGATCAAAATAGGACCAACAGCTTGCCACAGTTCCCACTTGACCCTCTCCTAAGTAGGGGCTGACCCTCAAATTGAGGAGTCCAGCGTCTCAAGTTCGCCGATTTGAAGGACCAGGGGTCAGGGCTGTGGACCACAGAGCAGGGACCATCCTACTCGTAGGGGTTCATCGAACCTGATGAACTGGCGCAAGCATTAACCAGTGACAGGAGTGACAAAGGGGTTGGTTCTGTTGTCCTGTAGACACCCCTATCCTTCCTCCAGGCACCCCTTTCTGACTCCTGAAACAAGAGAGTACCAGTAGGGCACGGAAGGGTCCATGCCCACAGAGTAGTTCGAACTGGTTCAACTGTTTCGCAATGGAAACAACCACAAGCACGCACTTTTTCGTGTCAACAAACTAACACCCATAGTTCAGAGACGAAAAACACCACGGCCGTTTCAAACAGGCCAAGGTGCACACCCTCATCTTTGAACGCTTTCACCACGGCTTCCAGCGTGGTCGCAAACGAAGCATCGATGTTGTTTCCTCCGAGTGTTCGGGGTAACAAGTGCATCGCTAGTACAGTAAGTGCATCGCCACGTTCGTAGCAAGCTACCAGTAGAAATGCGCTTGTTACTAGTAGCGTTGCACTTAGCTACTAGCGATGCGGGTCTGGTGGGATTGATCAGCTCTAGGAGTAGTAGCTTGGAATACTTTGGAAGATTCAGATCTTTAAGATGGAAGTCGAGCCCTTTCCTACCCTCGTTTTCGCGATATCAAATGGCTGGAGTGGCCATCAATGAAAAAGGAGGAACCGAATGGAACAGGTGGATGTGGATGGAATGGGATGGTGAAAGGAAAAATTACCCGACAGGTCCAGCCTGACCCAGGTCCAAACCTGGTCTGACTGACCTTGTACTGAAAAGGACCCACTTGAGTCGTCTTCTCCTTGCATCTATGGTGTTGAAGGAAGATTTCTCTCCTAACCAATCAATCCATATTCGTTTCAATTGCCTTCCCAAACCACGCCTTTGGATGGTAAAGCTGCCTCCATCATCGCGCTCAGCCGAACACAGGGCACCACCGGTCGTGGCACACCATCCGCCGTGGGTGGAGGGGTGTAGCTCATGGTACGAGCTCCTTCGGGTCGGCCGCACCAAAAGGGGTGCGAACCTGCAGGGATCCAACTACCTCCTGAGTCTAACCAACAAACCTGAGGATATGGTCCAACTACCTCCGTTTCCAAGGTGGTTGGGTCCGAACCTGAGGATATGGGCCAGGAGCCCTAGGGAACGTGGGTGGTAGACCTGAAACGGAGTCACACACCGATGGTAGATCCTTCCAAGTCGCACTGTTGCTTGCGCCGGTCGGTTGCTTGTCATGGTCTGCATGGTCTGTTTTGTTCTTCCTCACAGATCCTTTGTCTCCTTTTGCAAAAGAAGTGTCTTCAGAGGTGGAACGCTTTTATCTTGGATTTGCTTAAGAAACCCGGAACAAAAAACGACCATAATGCATTCATTAACATTCCCCAGTTATATACTACCCATAGGAAAGAAAAGAATGCACCTTACGTAAGTCTTAAGCACGTGGACATGGGCCCAGGTTTCTTCAGCTGCGAAAAAGAAGGTGAAAAAACCGGGAGAAACACCGCAGTGTTGTGTTGACCGCGACGGCACTGAACCGACCGACCATTGACCATTTTTGCTTTTGGGTTCGACCCTTTTTCCCTAACAATCCACGTACCAGGACCTTCCTTCTGAGGTGTCTAGTCTCATAGTCTCTTGGAGGTGAGGAACGGGGTGTCCAAAAGCCACTGGGCTTATTGACCTAATTACGTTTACCCGTTTCAGACATCCTCAAAATCAGTCCCATGCATTGTGAGGCTTTTGGCTCGTTGATCTGATTGCTCCCGCTTGAGCGAACAACCTACCTCCATTGCTGTTCGGGTGGGTGCCAAGGGGGTCTGTCCCTAGCTTCTGAGGATGTGGGACAGGAGCCCTGGGGTCTTTTCCTCCCGGATTGAAGGAATGTCAGCTCCTCATTATTGTTATCTTTTTGTTACGGCTGCAGTTCGAGCAGCTCCATTTCAGCTCCATGTCATTTGCCAGTTGGAGTAGAAGAAACGTTGTGAAAGCCAGCATCCATCCCTCTCTCCACATGTGAAAGGCCGTTTGAAACGGCATCTTCTTCTACGGAGATCAATTGGATCATCAGACACCTCTATACCGACCAAGAACTCGAAGTCACGCGAAACACACATGGCAATGGGGAGAACGATCCCTCTAAACCTTCCACCTGAAGAACTCATGAATGATCGTTCATGTTGCTGTGAAGAACTCCTTCCGCCATGAGCTTGGCATCCTTCCGCACAATCTCCAGCGGTGGATAGTAGGGCTTCGCCTGCCGACGGGGCGGCGCGCGTCCATTAGGGGATATTTATGGACAGCCCTTAATTACGGGGGCCCGGTCTATGGTGGGCCATGTAAACCTGATTCCAGCAGGTTGAAGTACTCCGGATCTCGCCCACGAAAAATAATGACGATCCTTGACCACGCAGGACAGGGCTTGCGGTGTGTTTATGTTGTTTTTTCCACATGTTTGAAGGAGTTGGTCAAGGTCATACTATATGTTTATATCATACATATCTATATATAAACGGTACAGTCAAGGCACTGTCATCTTGTTCCCCAAGTTCCCGCCAAAGAAGAAACAACGACCTCTTCTTCTGTGGAAGCTTCATGAAGCCTTTGGTTTGGAAGCGATGAGCCCGACTTAGCCCGACTCGGCCCCCAACGGGTGGTGGGAAAAACCTGCCTTCACCACGTAGTTCCCGCCCATGAGCACCACCTCCTTGCCATCAATCTTGTATACCTGCCAGTTGGAATGTGGTGCACACCACAGAGCTTTTGACCAAGTGCCTGTTCCTTCCGCCACGGATTTCTCACTGATGATCAGACCTCTTCTTTCAGTCTTGAAATACACCAAAGGGACGGAACAAAACACCACAAAGAGTGATCAGGAAACCCACGGGAATTGGCTGCTTTGGTCGTTCCACGCCACGGCAGGCCGCATGCCGTTCACGTTGAGTCCAGTGCCCGGGCAGAGGACCGAAAGGTCCGGTCGCAGAGGTGCAGACGGGTCGGGATCGAGAACGAGACAGGAAAAGGACTGGTCCCAGGGATCACTCCATGGGACTGTCATGACTTGACACCATGAGGTGGTTGACCATCAGTCATACATGATGTAGAGAGAAATGAAACAAACAAACACCTCACGACTCGTGTGGTGTTTGCCGCGGAAGACATAAACAAACTGAATAAAAACCGGCCATGTTTGGTTTCAACATGTTTCAACCATTGCCCAGAAAATCAAGGGATTCAATTCTCACTAGAGTCACTAGAGCATAGAGCTGACAAAGAGCATAGACCTGACAGGCCTCTGTTTCTTAGTATTACACAATCATTCCCTTGGGCTCCAACTACCTCCGTTCCGAAGGTGGTTGGGGTGGGTGCCAGGGGGGGTCTAACCACCTTAGGTAGGAGGTAGTTGGAGCCCAAGGGAATGATGATCCATTGGATAGTTCCCTCATGTTCCCTCACTCCGCATCCAGTGGTTAACTTCAATTGTTATATTGCTGTTGGATGAACACTGGAACGTTCCCGGAACAACCGAACAACCAAACAACCGCGCACACACACACATCATATATACATCATCATACAATGTCACCGGCACTGCAAGCAGCAAGCACCGCATGAAATGAACTTCACCACTACCGATGTCTTAAAATTGGTCTCGGCACGAAAAGCTGGGAATTGTGGGATCGCGCTATAGATCGCGGCATTTCTCCAAACGCTTCTCTGCAAGCTGGCACTGGTGCATTTACGTCCGCAGGGGGAGTGGTCTCCCCAGTGGTCGTCGGAACCTCGTGGCCCGGGTCCCAAACCGCGCCTCACCGGAGATGATCGCAGGTCCCGGCCGCAAGGGCGTCTCTTCCGTCATGGCCGCGTGGGCCGCGTGGGGACGGCCGCGTCCGCGTGCTTTTCCGGGGTCGGTCTTGAGCCCGGACGCGGCGTAGGGCGTAGTCGAGCATGGATGGTTTAGGGTTTAGGGTTAATGCGAAGCACTATAGCCCCACCGGACCCCAACTGATCGGTAAATCATACATGGATGGTCTGGGTAGTGGATGGGGGGGAGAGTATTAGATTTGTAGAGTTGCTGTTCATGAAGCCTTATATAATCATCGTTGTATAATCAAAACCCAACAAGGTGACAAATTGTTTATCAATTTTGTGATTCTAGCAAGGGGCTGGAGCTCCTTAGTTCTCTGTCTATAATGTATATAGGGAATACAAATATGCGTGGAGGAGCCACTTGTGGTGAGATGGTGATGGTGGGAGCCTGCCCTGAGGATGGATGGACACACATGAACATACAAATACCCCAAAAAACAAAATTATATAAAAAAAAAGCATATATATATATAATATATATGATATATTTGTACGTAATGATCTCATAAACTTAATATACATCATGAACAAAGCATGACTAACAATGTTCTCATATATGACACTTTGAGACGAACATTCCCTTCGTCTCTTCACAGATCTTCACCTCGACTCCGCGTGGTGCAGGTCGCGGCTTGGTGCCGCTGGGAGACACCTGCATGGACGGCTGGATGGGATCACCCATTGATCCAGCTTCCCATGTCACCCTAAATCCATATTGCAGTCACTTCTCATCTCAAAGTATCTCGAAACGGTATACAAGTACCATCAAGTACCTGTTCTTTATGACCTGGTCATGTCCCAGTCGAAACGCCGGGTGCCCGGTCGGGGTCGGTCGGGTCCGCGAAAAAAAAACGCACCGATTCGTTTGAAGATCAGATCCTACACCTGGACCTTCTGGGGTCACCTGGCTGGAAGCTCGCCCCAGCCCACTACAATCCGGACCTCCTTGTTCAGGACATCCCTTTTTCAGGTCCAGGTACCAATTCATGGTTTGCTTTTTAAACATCTTCAGTCCTGAAGGGGGTTCAGGTGGCGAAAACCGTGGCTTCAAACGTCAAAAAAGGCTTCACCTCTCCAAAACGCACCTGAATCAGGAGCTACAAAGTGTTTCGTGACTTTTAGAACCCAGTTTTCGTGGTTTTTAGAACAGGGGCACCCCCTCTGACATCCTCCGGATGGCACCCTTTCCTCCGAACAGGTACGGCGCCTCCCGCACGCCACGTCGGACGTCCTCGGTGCTGACGGACACGGTCCGTCGCGGTCCGGTCCGTTTTGGGGTTGAAGAACTGGCTCCAACATCATTGAAGTATACTAATGAACTTGCGATTGCAACTGGGTCTTTTGCAATTGGGATCTGGGTCTTAAGTTTGCCTGCTATCAGTTGGCATTGGGGCTCTGTGTGGGGCGCCTCGTGTGCCGCCATGCCTGTGTGGCGGATTCCCGAATCTGATGTGGAGGAGGACCGCGGAAAGTAGAGCTTTTTTGGTTAGGATATAGGGTGTACTTGATGATGATCTTTGGGAGGAGGACATAGTATCCCTCACAGTGGAGCAGTACGACTATATCTACTGTGGTGACCACTTTCGATCTGCAGCTGGCCCCTTGTCATGCTGCATGCTTCTTCTACTTGTAAAGGTTCCCAACATGTTGATAAGGACTCTGGTTCCCAACCATCTTACTATGGCTGAGGCTTGGATTGGTGGTTCAAGCAGTGGCATAGCTCTTTCGGCTATGCGTCCGACTGCCACTTAACCGCTTTCAATGTTGACAGGTACCGGTATTTCTGATTTGAACAATCCATATTTTTCAGCCCGAGGTAGCGGAATGGATACCCCACTCACTGCCCTGAAATTGCTTTTTCCATCTGGCAAGCGAGATCTGCTGACTTACCTGTGCCTCGGAGCAACTATTTGTGAACACCTCAAAGTCAGCTTGAAAATTAGGATGGTGAGGGTTGTGTGGGGACTGGCTCAGGTGCAACAGTGAGCGGGATGAGGCTGCCAGGAAGTACTTGGACAAGAACCATCCAAATCCTGTTTTTGGGCTGCTGGACTGCACTGGAAAGCACATTTGGCACGTTTGAAAACGCAAAAGAAGCTCATGCACAATCGCAAGCCCATGTACATCAGGTCATACAGGAACATCTTCAACACGAAGTACAAGAAATTATGTAAGAAGGTGCCTGGGGTTTGTTGCAGTTTTTTGACATGTCCATCCCCTCCTGCTGAAAAAAAAAACTGGACATGCTTTTTGGGAGGTGGCTGTGTATTGCGCTGGCTTTCCTTGTACGCCTTTCTCATTGTTGCATCATGGCTCACAACTTCTAGAAGAAGCAGATGCCCAGCAGATGTTCAAAGTCCTGGAGAACGTTGTGTCTGCTCAGCCGGCAGCTTCTTGGCTTCAAAGTGAGAAGAAGCACCATGCATTGAAGAACAACAGATTGCAATGACAAGGTTGCCCTCTTGGAGAACGTGATCGGATTCCGACGAGTCCAAGGAGAGTTCAACAAGTGGGTCACCGCAAACCTCCCTGAGCAACTTGGAATAGCTACCAGCTACATCCTTTAAACATCGGTTCTTTTCATGGACAGGATTTTGATATGGGCTGGGATCAAGGTATCAGATGGTGTTCCTTGAGATGGATCCGTCCCTTGGAAAGGGTTTTGAGAACACAAACAAACTTTGGCCAGGACAGAGTATCATCATCCTTTCAACTTTAGCCAAGGAAAGATTATGGACAGCCGTTGAATCGGGAAAGGCTGTACATCATCCTTGCTAGAGAGGAGTTGATGGTAATGAATGCAAAGTCAGATTTTGCTGGCTTTGCGCATGGCCTTTTGGAATCCATGAAATGTGATTCTGGCTTGTGCTGGTGCCTTTGCATGAATAATCATGAATAACAATCCCCTGTCCCTCAATGGTCCCCGATATTGCTACTACCTGCTGATCAGGAAAGACCTCCTCCTCGAGAAGAAACACCCTCTGGTTCTTGCTGCCATGAAAAAGCGCTCTGCAAGGCGAGCGCGCAACGCATTCGTCAAGCCTCCTGGTGTCATATGAATGTGCCCTTGTATCGATTCTTGGATGTGGTGGATGTGTCAATGATGCGTCTGTAAGGACATCTGTGGACTATGGCAAGAAATGGAAACATATTCACCAACAATGGCGAAAGAAACATGGAATCCAGGCTTCCATAGCATCTCATTGTCATCACTTAGAAAGTCAACATGTACTCGCTGCACCACACCTGTGTTGTTCTTCATTGCATTAGGTGAAACAAGCCAAAGGATGCTTTGCCAAGTCTTTTCCGGCTGGCGTTGATCAAGTGACAACACAAAGAGAGCTGCAGGCCTGAATGATTTCAATTATGTTGCAGGCCCCATTTCGGTACTTGTGAGGCTCTGGATTTGCTGGCTGCAAAGCATGGAAAGAAGATTGGGGTTGTGAACACATCTCAGATGCTGCACCGCATGCCCACCACGCTTGGGAATGGTCCTATGCCATGTTTGACGTCCTATTCTTAGTTGACCAATGAACACTATGTTCAACAAGTTGCAAAAAAAAACCAACGCTTATTATGATGTGTTGAGGCCAAATGGATCATATTTCTTGGGTCCCCAATCTCGGTACCTCACAGGAAACATGGCTGCAAAGAGAGTCACTGTGGTCCAGCTTGGCAAAGCACCCTGAAGCCCTGGCTCCACTCACCACTGTCTCAGGCCTTGAGGAAATGATCCTGCACGGCATGCCAATCGATGCTTTGCACACCAGCGATTTCTCTGACCGGGTGTCTGGGCGGGAACATGAGGTAAGATGTGAAACAAATGGACTGGAACACCCAGATTATAGTATGTGCAACCGTACAACCAAGGAACTGCGTCGATTGTCTGGAAATGGTATGAGCGTTCGGTGTGTGATGGCATCCCTTGCGGTGGCCTTAAAGAGTGTTCACCCCAAATATGTGGAGGCCTATTTGTCATCGTAGGAGTTGGTGTCCCAACTTCACAGGAGCACGTGGGGACCGCGAGGGGAAAAAAATCGCTACCTATATTATTTTACACAACCTCAATTGGTTGTCAATCGTCAATTCTTTGGAATGAAGTCTATCTTTGAAAGCCAAACACAAAAGAGCATTTTGCTGCCCAAAAGTATGCCGGTCCTTTCTCGCTATGATGATGCGGCTGATGAGCTGCGGCCTGGCAAGTGTTGGCGGTATGAGGAGTCTTCTGAGGAAGGCAACTGCTCGTCTAGTGAATCTTCCAGTTCGGAGACCCTCAGCTAACAACTGATCTTCAAATACAACCTGGGAAGTATATTGAATCATTCCTGGTTTGTCTTGAACTTTCTCATCTTAGGATTGAAGATGAGGAAGCTCCACCACCATCCCGACAGGTAGATCTGACTCTTACTACTTTGAACTCGTTGCATGCGTTGAACGAGCAGAATGATTCTTCCATGTTTGCTAGTCATGGAATGGACAGTGAAAGAATTGCCAATGCTTTGAAATCACCACCCTGCGATTGCAAGTGCCGCCTTCCTGCCTCTGTTTTGATCAAAGCTTGCAGAAGCTTCTGGTCCCTGCCGAAACAGTCGCAAGACGCGTGTTTGTGGACCCTCCAGTCTTCTGCTTCGGCTTCTAGAAGAACGTGGAGTATTGAAGGACATATAATGGGGGGGGCGTATGGCCATATGGCACGTGGACTCTTTAAGTCATGACACTCAGTGTTTTGCTAATCGCCAGGATACCCCTTGTGCAAAGTAGCGTGGGCCCGATACATGGGAATCGGAAAGCAGCGCCTACAGCGTTGCAAGCGGGCATTTCATGGGATCGATGATAGGACCATCAGCCAAGGACTTCTGACAGCAAGTTAGTGCTGCTTGTTGCAGGTTTCAGAAATACCCCATTAACAATAAGTGGCACCCGAGATCTAAGGTGAGACCACCCGAGAATCGAAGCAAAGCTCATCAGCCCACACCTTCTTTGGGCATCTGTACTTTACAGCTGCAGAAGCCATGCCCACCAAGTGACTTGCTACTGACTTGGTATGAAATGGAAAACCCTTCAACCGAGCCATCCAGTGATGATTCAACTGATCCTCCAGGTTTTCATCTTCTTCTTCCACTTTCGATGACCAGGATTTGCAAGAGGACCTCTTAAGAAAACTGATCAATCGGAAGTTGTCTGGCCCGACATTGGAGGTCATGGACATGCAAGACCCATGCAAGCTCCCGCTCAGAGAGCTCCCGCCAGGGAACGTCGCCTCCTTGTACCTTATGTACCTTGCGTACTGCAAGGTCACCACCTCTTTGGATCCTTGTGGCAAGAGCACGTTCTATGCCGTGGCTAGATCATGGTCATCGTGTTTGAAGTTCCGACATGCCAGTGAACACGCCATGTGTGTTACCTGCCAACGACTGAAAGCTTCCATCCATGCAGCAACCGAACAGCCCTTAGTTGAATGCTCAACTGACAACTGAAAACCAAATGTCGTTTGTCATTTGTCATGCAACCATTGAGGACTTTGGCCAACACGCCGCACTTTGCAACCAGTTGTTGCAGCACTATTGTTCGCAGTACATGGACAGAAAGGTGTACTGGTCAGCTAGAACCCGAAGTGCTACACAGGGAGACCTATTGTGTGTCATTGTGGACTCTTTTGATCGCTCTAAACTTCAATTACCACAGTGGCCAATGAACCGCTGTCCGAAAAGGACACTTTACGAAAACACCCAAAGACACTCAGCTTTAACTGTACTGCCTTGGGAATTTCATTGGAGACATCCTCCCTTGCTTTCAATTCCATTTCTATCTAAGGAGTGAACTTGGTGTTGACAGCAGTTCTTTGTCATGGACATGGATGCTGGATGTTTCTAACTGCTCGGGAGGGGATGAGTGCCGGCAGCAGTTGGAACTGGGAGTGCGTTTCTTGATTGAAAAGATCTAAGCAACACCAACCAATTCACGTCGAGCCTTTTGTGGAAAATTGTTTACTTCAATTTTAATGTTGGTTCGTTGAAGTTTAGGTGATGAGAGCTCTGGAGGGTGTGTGGACAAGAACCCGCGCCCAAAACCAACCTTTTCCAAAAGAGTTACTTGGCTGGGACATAGGTGATGGTGCGTAGTGTGTAGTGTGCAATTAATCCTGGTCCTCTTTTTACAGTTTGAGGCTGTGGGTACAAAGTGACAATACGGTCAAAGAGATCCGCAACCAGAATGGGGCAAAGATGCTTGCTTCGATGACTCAGGCCGGCCTGTGGGGGGGTGGCTTCGTGCCACCACCTACAGGTCGGCCACACGCATGAGGATATAGACGCGATATTCTCATTAGTAGCTGTTGCCCTACGCAACAAACAGCTGCAAACGCCCATGGATGTTGCCAAAACCATTGATGCGAAGCTCAACCATCTTTGGACCAAAAAAGGCATGGTTTTCTCCATCGCTGTGGTGGACACAGTGGCTAGAGAAACAAGACTTACATGTAATTTTCTCTCCTTTCCCTCCTTCTTTCCACCTGGCAGCGTGTACCTGTTCCTCCTGACTTCCTCTGACCAACAAAGGTGCGTGATTGGGTGAAGATCCTTCCGGAGGAAGTGTCTTTGAAGAATGCCTTCAGGTCTCGGAAGTGGATAGACAATGATGATCAAGCCCCACTTCCGCACTCTTTTAGCTACATGGCCAGGGCAGGCCAGGGTTCGATTCTCACCCATGTCAGTTCCAACTTTCCCATAACAGAGTATGACCTTCCCTTTTGCAGGAATTCCAGACCAAGGGAGGCAACTTCAATTGAGTGATCGGGTGCCCAGGGCGATGCGAGCTGACAATGTTATGGATGATGTATTTTGTATGGTGAAGGAGAAAATGGCCAGCGAGGGCCTTTGTCAGGACCCTTTGCTGGTTTTCCCTGGTAGTTTGATTGAGAAGAGTAGAGCTACTTTCGTTCGTGCAAATGATGGTGATTGCCCTCTACAGCAATGCAACCTTGAAAAGGAGAGGTTGGATGAAATTCGTTTGCTGGCTAGGGCAATCAGAAAGGATTTCCCTCATATGACCAGAACAATTTCCTTTTATGAATCTTTGCTTGCGCCACCACACGCTGGGACTGTGCCACAGCTAAGCTGGCTGCGTTACGCAACCACGCATGACCGGCGTGATTGGAGTGCTGTGCAACTGGGTCGAAGGCCCCTGGGGCCCAAGCCACATGAGCTTCAGGTGGTTTTCCATCGGGCCCGTGTGTAATGGGGATTTCCACCAAAGCTATGGTGTGCAGTTGGGGAGAAATTTCAGAGCTGTCCATTTCATTCTTTGACGAGCAGTGTGTCCTCCAAGATTGTAACAGACATTTTGTCTTGCTTATTTAGGGTGAGTGGCTCAATTGCAACCTATTTGCATTTGGGGTGCCACTACCTGCTTCCAAAATGGAAGGTGAGACTGATGGTGGGTCTGAGAGTGCCCCGATCCAGCGAATCCGGACCTACTTTGAATCTGTTTCTTGTTTCATTTTGAAATCTGATTCACATTCTCAACATGTTCAATCCAATTCTGGGGCCTCTGAATTTGAGGGCACCTTATTTCCGACATCTACTGGCCGCGTCCCACTTGAGGTTGTGGCCACTCGCAACTTGGGGGAGTGGTTGAATCAGGTCTTCTTGGATAGAGCTAAAATGGAACAAGTGAGGACCTCAATTTCATCTCATCATGAGTAGATTGTTTTGTAACTTTTCCAATTTTCAATTGAGCCTGTTACAATTGATCGTGGAGGCCATACAAGATCTGGTTGAGAACAACCCGAAGGTCCAGATGGACAGAGCCTTCCTCTCCCTGATTCCCAATGAGAAGATGGATGAGTTTTGGTTGCCGCTGAGGGCCTTTGACTACAGTGCCAATGGGAAGAATGGATGTGGGGGGTTGTCAAAAAAAAAGGTCGGTTTAACATGTATGTTGAACTGTTGAGTCTGAGTTTGCAATGATGGGCTGGGCTGGGTGGGAATGTGTTGTCCTTCCCCTGCAGTCTTGCCATCCAACCAACAGATCAATGTGCACATGCCTGAATTTTTGGCGTTCGGATACAAGTCCGCAATAGGCAACATCGAGTGCAAATTCCCTCTTAGGGACGGTACAAGACTTGTTCAGAACTTCTCCGTGGGGGTCACTGATGGCCATACGAAGATCATCATCATGATGAGCATCGTGGGCATTGCACGAGAGCTGGAACTTTCCAATGCAGAGTTGAACGACCCACAACTGTCAATGGTTCTGGCAAGTTTTGGCCAAGTCAGATGTTCCTATGAGCATTTCCAGAACCCAGCACATTTCTTCCTCTACAGTTTGAGAACCTTTTCTGATTTTGTCTAAACTTTCTGTATTATCGTGTGTTTCCAAGGCCTATAGATCTTAACACATATTCTTTGGACACTGAGAGTTCTCTCTTGATGAACTAAGAAACTGGCTTTGTCTCGTCGGAGAAACAGGGGCCGTCCCCCATCGAATTGGTAGCTGAATTGCAGCAAGCAGTGGAGCTCCAACGGCGCCAAACCCATTCCAAAGCCAGTGCATTACGTGACCATCTAGGCCGAGTCATTGCAGAGTACAACAAGATGGTCAGTGTAAAAAAACACAGGCTGGATTCTCCGAAAAAGGCTTTGGCCTACAACCTGAAGCTTGTTATTTGCTTATTATGCCGCCGGTAAGTTTGATGAAGTTTATTATATTTTTGGTTTGATGAAGTCGATGCAATATTTGTTGTTCCACCGGTCAGCCCAGGATGAGGTGTCCATCAGAATTGTTGGCCCTTCTCCACAGACACTACGATCATTACAAAGCAGAAAGCTCAGGACCTAAAAAATAGAGTGAAGTTGATTGTTTATTGTTATACGTAGTCACTTCAGGTATTAATTATTACAGTATACGAACACTTGCTGCCCCCTCCCCGCCCACTGTTCAGTCTCCTTGAAGGAGTACCGCATGAAGTTCTCCAATCCGATTTTTTCGTGCCTGGGTCTTGCTCGCGCAGGGAGGCGGAGCGATACCGGGGGAAGCCACAGTTCAATGAGATATTGACTGTCTCGGCTGAAACCACAATGCTCTACTTTGAGAGAGTGGTTCAGGACCATACTTTCCAAACTCAGCAAATCTGTTGGGATTGGTTGAATCGACTCCCAAATCCTGGAATTTGTTCTCACTTTGGATTTCATGCCCGGATAGGACTTCAGCAGAAAAGCTTCCAGAGAAGCAAGCACCAAAGCCAAGGAGACGGGTCAAAAAAAAAGGCAAGTTTTGCTCATGGGGAAATGACTGGAGGGTATACAGTATCCCATATTGAAAGTGGTGACCACTGTTAGTTAGTCGTGTACGCAATACGTATAATAAGAGAGAGAGAGAGTCTGGTACATTTGGCATTGGTTGATCCTTGCTTTGAACTATTATGTAATTGCTGCATTTAATCCTTTTGCCTGCTGCCCTGCCCTGGCGAGAAACAGCACCAGCTGACAGAGGAAGCTCACCATCTTCTGTTTGACTCATGCGCTTTGTGGCTGTGGCTTCGCACCAAGATGGCCACGCACTTCACGGGGGAAATTTTGAGCAAGCATGACCGCTTATTTATGGAAGGGTTCCTGGGTAATGACCAGGAAATATTTCAACCTTTTTTATTGGTAGCTGGTAGAGGTAAAATATGTCTGGCATGAGGGTGGAATCATGCTTGGTCGCCCAAATTCTTTGGGAGGATGGAATTGTGATTGGTCGCCAAAATTATTTGGCTGGAGGGTGGAAATTGTGATTGGTCGCCGACATTATTTGGCTGGAGGGTGGAAATTGTGATTGGTCGCCGACATTCTTTGGCTCGCCATGCAAAATTGTGATGTGGTTTCCAGAAACCGCGTCACAATTTCAATGGGGTCGCCAAAACTTTTTGGCCGGGAGAACCAATCACAATTTAGTCTTCAGATTTTCCTTTCAAATGTGATGCGGTTTCCAGAAACCGCGTCACAAATCCATGGTTTTGGGGGGGGGGCATCATGCTCTCCACAAAACATTCAACTTTCCCCGATCATGGTTTCCTTGAAATACTATGATTTTGTGATGGGGTTTCTGGAAACCGCGTCACTTTTCTCTCCAATATGTTCCTTCAAAAGTTTGATTGGTTTTCCTAGGTCGCTTTCCCCGTTTGATTTTTTTTGTCTTATATAGTGTTTTATGTCAAAATGTTGTGAGGCACTTGGACACTGATCTCGCAACTGTGCTCAAATCTGCCGAACCTTTCGATTGGAACCGCATCAGCTTCATCTTGGAGGCTCACCAACTAACTAGTGGTTGTTTGAACTACATGGTGTGTGACTTCTCAAACTCTCTTGCGGCATCAAATGAAAGCCTTCCCACTAGACTTCAATGATAAACGAGTGACAAACAACAAGTGTTGGCCCCGACAGGAACATTGGATGCATCAGTAGACTAGAGTCTAGAGGTCAAGTTGGGCATCAAATGACAAACCAAATCCTCACGCAACGCCCAAAGACAGGCCCATGGAAAGAGCCTGGAAGAGTTCGTTGTGCAGCACCAGGATTCCAGCAAGAATGCTTTGCGGAAGTCCTTGGAGGCCGCGTTCAGCTCTTGGATGGAAGAGCTCAAAGCGGACCAGGCTCAATTCATGGCGGACAAAGTTCTGACCTTTGCCTTCGCTTAGGTGTGTGTGTGTATTGGTGAAAACCTGCCTGGAAATATTGGTCAACAAATTAGAGTGTCCCTTCATAGCTTACCTAGTGCCATTTCATGACGCCTTCTGTCTCCAACCAAGGGCTGAGAAAGAAGGAGCCCGCGCTCGTGCTAAGCTAGTCAAACAGCTGGAGGACTGCAAGTGTTTGCATCCAAAATGGTTTTGAGGGTGATTGCATCTTCAAACACAATAGTTTAAAGACAACATAGCGGTCAGATTTTTGGCGCAAGGGTTTTATCATCAAGTTTGAACCGCATTTGGGACTTGTAGGAAATCATTTTGGGGGTTCGTCGTCAGTGCATTTGGAATACAAATACGACATGTACATGTTGCTTTTCACCGTGTCCACTCATAGCGTCCTGCACTCAACACTCAAAAAGCAACTAGAACGCTTTGGCTTGATGGTTTCAGAAGCTTACGGGCACTTTTCTGTGGCTTTCAACACCAGGATTGCCATTCCCGCGCTTGGACTGCTGTCGGCACCTATATGGACTCGCATCTCAAACTTTTTGCTGGCCGGACCTCAGACGCCGAGGGAACAATCATGCCAGCCAGCCGACGGTGGCTGCGAGAAACAGCGCAGGAGGCAAGAGGTCAAAAACAAGGGAACCCAATCAAATGTAATGCAGGGGAAGGTATTTAAGTAAGAACTTGGTTTTAGGTTGGCGCAAGTGATCCAGGTCCAACTGCTGAAACAACTTCAAAGTATCACTTCAAAACAACTTTAAAACAACTTCAAAGGTTTATCTTGTGTCAGATTTGGGCTTTTGATTAGGCAAACAGTTGCATGCCTTTATTTGGGAATGCGTGGGTATGTTGTGACAGGTGACCAATGGGGGTCCAGATGACCATGTGGTGATCCTGATCATGTCATGCCCCACTGTGGGTATATTGGGAGCTGCTTTCAAATCCTTCATGATCACCTACATCACGAATGTGCTGTCAGACTTTCCGACCAACTCCATTTGCTTCTTGGTGCATCCAAACCGAGCCGGCCAAGACAGGACATCGAGTTTTGAATTGTCAAGAGTGGCCAATGGTTGAAACACAGCCTGAGATCAATAGCAGCCTACATGCCCCAGCCATCTAACTTGCAGTCACGACTCACCATCCATTTAATATTGAATAGCGATGCACTTTGGACTAGGTGTGCCTCAGTTTCTATCCTGTTCTAGCCGGGCTCAAAGCTGACTTGGTGCGCAGGAAAGCTGCAAAAGTCGAGGAAGTAGAGAAAAAGGAGCACCCTGACCACGAGGATGAGGACGCGGACGCAGACGATGATGCTGCGAAGCGGCTCGAAGAATCTGAGGAGGTTCAGGTTCGTGACATCCGCTACAACCTTGAGAGCCTTGTTCCACATTAGACAGTGTACCCTGTTTTGAGTTGGTTGTCTGTACAACTGTTTGGATAGGATGAAACAAACCTATGGGGTCTCGCATCTTGGAACCATGTGCCTGGACCAGTCTTGAAGTTGAATATACAAATCGCCATTCAATGGACAATGTAACCTTCGGGCATTCTGATTCCAAACACATCAATGAGATTTTGGGATACCACAGGAATGAAAGGACCCATAAGGTTTCTTACCGGTCCTTTCATTGTGGCCGCTTAGCCTTTTGCTGGCTGCCCAATACTTCTCGGCATGCTGACTTCTCAGGATCCAATTCTCAGCGAAAGAGAGAAACCTCAAGGTCCGGAGCTTGACATGGGTCTTTGATCCTGTTCCTTGGCTATTTAGATCCAGAAATGGAAGGAACCAGAAATGGTTACAGTATCATTTAGCAGTCGTCCATTAGCTACTATTTAGCTATTTAGTATAATTAACTGCTTTGAGTTTGGTTTCATCGTTCATTGTTGACCCTCAGGCTACAGTGTATGGGAAGAGAGATGGCGTGTTGACGGGGCTGGCCATCACGCATCGAGACAGCAGAAACTTCTTCCATGGAACAAAGGGGTGGAAGACAGGAACAATTCACGGAGTTGCCATGTGCGCCAGATCAGAGATGTTCAAACCAGACTGTGTAGCTTGGTCGCGCAACAAATGATAGTCTTTGAACAACCCCCATTAGGAAGTCCCCAAGGTTAAAGGTTGTCGTGGTTGCCTCCGCCATTGTCACGCCAGTCGTGCCTCAAAGGCCTCTCCTGGAAGAGCTCATGCAATGCCACACCTTGGGCGAGCATTCACCGACGTGCAAGAGCAGAAGCAAGTTTCTTTCCCCCAATCTTAGTAGATCTTTGCATTGTGTTTTGCCAAAATATTCCTTGTGAAACCATAGAGTAGACATGCTTTTGAACCGCATTTTTGGTGTTCAACACATGGATTATAACTTTAAGATATTATGTACTATGTTATACTAACAATGTATTGTAAAAAACTATAGTAAAAATTGATGTTTCCAAAGATCCATCATGAGATATCATGAGGTGGCAGCTGGCACGGACTTCATCCAGAAGACTCTTGATGGGTTCAACATCAAGACATCGAAGACCACAATCCTCGTTGACATGTATGGTTATGATGCGTGGCCGGCTTTGTCGAGTTTGAAGGACACTTGTTAAGGGTTGCTCGCTGATGTTCTCAAATCTTTCCAAAGCTGTGTATTTGGGGCCCTGACAACTTGAACCCTTTCAATCCAGGAGGTGCAAGATGGAAGGGATTGTTGCTGCGCGACCCTTTGCATGGATCATAGTGGGCAGGAATTGATGAACCGGGTGTCCAACACAGTTTATGAGCAAGCAAGATCGAGATCTTTAACACTCAATTCGTTTCCCAACTTTGAGCCTTTGCTCAGTGCTCTGCGTGATGGGACTACAGCAGAGAGGTCCAAGAGCTACAGGGTCTCTACACAAAGGCACGACCAGTTGGTCATTCTTGACAGCTATGCCAAAAAGTGGCTTGACGACCCGAACTTTGAGGAGCGAGCGAAGCAAGTCATCAAAGAACACAATGCGGAGTTCAATCCTGCCGGTGATTTGGTGGTGGAGAGGCTCGATGTGCAAGAGTCCAAATGTTGGTAGTTGCCGTTCAATTCTGGGGAATTGCTGTGGCTATCATCTTTTATCTTGAACATCATCATCATCATCATCATCATCATCATCATCATCATCATCATCA